TTGATGATAGCATGTCAATTTTGGATCTCTCCACTCTTCTCATGTGGGCACTTATTGCTATGTATTTTCCTCTAGAGACTGCTTTAAATGTGTCCCAGAGATTCTGGTATGTTGTCTCTTTGTTCTCACTGGTTTCGAAGAACTTCTTTATTTCTGCCTTTATTTCATTGTTTATCCAGTCAACATTCAAGAGCCAGTTGTTCAGTTTCCATGAAGCTGTGCTGTTCTGAATTAGTTTCTGAATTCTGAGTTCTAACTTGATTGCACTATGGTCTGAGAGACTGTTTGTTATGATTTCCTTTCTTTTGCATTTGCTGAGGAGTGCTTTACTTCCAATTATGTGGTCAATTTTAGAGTAGGTGTGATGTGGTGCTGAGATGAATGTATATTCTGTGGATTTGGGGTGGAGAGTTCTGTAAATGTCTATCAGCTTTGCTTGTTCCAGGTCTGAGTTCAAGTCCTGGATATCCTTGTTGATTTTCTGTCTGGTTGATCTGTCTAATATTGACAGTGGAGTGTTAAAGTCTCCCACTATTATTGTGTGGGAGTCTATGTCTCTTTGTAAGTCATTAAGAACTTGCCTTATGTATCAGGGTGCTTCTGTATTGGGTCCATATATATTTAGGATCGTTAGCTCTTCTTGTTGTATTGATCCTTTTACCATTATGTAATGTCCTTCTTTGTCTCTTTTGATCTTTGTTGCTTTACAGTCTATTTTATCAGAGATGAGAATTGCAACTCCTGCTTTTTTTTTGCTCTCCATTTGCTTGGTAAATCTTCCTCCATTCCTTTATTTTGATCCTTTGTGTATCTTTGCATGTGGATACAGCACACCAATGGGTTTTGGCCTTTTATCCAATTTGCCAGTCTGTGTCTTTTGATTGGTGCATTTAGCTAAACTGGATTATTAATGATTTTTAAAGTTCAATACTTTGAGACTTCTGCTTCTGGAAAGATGGAGTAGATATACTTTTCCTTATTCTTCTCACTAAGTACAACTAAGGTATTGTATAAAACAAACATAAGACTATAGACTCTGAAAGATGTAGAGAAGGCAGCCTGACTAGGGACCTTAGCCTCCCAACCCTGGCTCCCCAGGTGGTGTCAGGAAGGCCAAATGCAGAGTCCAGATGGATGAGACTTTTGTTCCTACCTGGAGATAATGAGCTGCTGACCCTCCTCCATGCAGTGTGAATGGAGAATATGCAGGAAGCTTGGCCTGCCCCCCACAAGGAAGAGGCACCCCAAAGATATACAGTAAAAGCCAACAGAACTGAGAGGAAAAATAGACAAATTCCTAATTATCATTGGGCATTTTCCTACCGTTTCTCTACCTTTCTCTACAACCAATATAAAACCAAGCAGAAAATCAGCAAGGATACTTAAGAACTCAACAACATCTTCAAGAACACTTGAACATTTCTAGAATGCTTTACCGAAAACCTGCAGAATACACATTCTTTTCATGTGCCCAAAGACCATATACTAGGATACATTGTCTCTTGACCTCAGTAAGTAAAGCAGACCTCAGCAAAGGTAAAATAATTGAAATTATACAGAGCACGTTCTTGGACTACAATGGAATCAAACAAGAAATCAACAGAAATATAGCAGGAGGATGTCAAATACTTACAAATTAAAAAAAACACATTTCTAAGTAACCCATGGTTTAAAGAGAAAGTTTCAAGAGAAGTAAAAACTGAACTGAATAAAAATGAAAATATAAATATCAAAATTTGTGGGATGCACTAAAACAGTACTGAGGAAAATGTATATTATTAATGACTGCATTAGAAAAGAGGAAATTCTTCAAATCAATAAGCTAAGCTCTCACCTCAAGATACTAGAAAAAGAAGAGCAAAATAATCCCAATGCAAGCAGAAGGAAATAAAAAGATTTCAACAGGAGGCAGTGAAATAAAAGCAAAGAAATAATAGAGAAAATTCATGAAATGAAAGCTGGTCCTTGAAAAAGTCAAAAAAGTTGACTAACCTGTAGCAAGACTGACAAAGAAGAAAAGAACACACAGATTGCCAACATCAGGAATCAGGGGATGTCACTAAAGACCCTGCAGGCATCAAAAGGTTAATAAAAAAATACTATGAATAACTGCACATGAATAAAATCTGAGAACTTAGATGAAATGAACCAACTGCTTGAAAAGTACAAACTACCACAATTTGTCTAAAATGGAATAGGTCATTCGAATAGTCTTATAACTATTAAGGAAATTTAATTTATAATTTTAAAAAGACCTAGAGAGAAATTTATAGGCTCAGTAGGTTTTGCTGGAGAATTATACCAAATGTTTATAGCACAATTAACACCAATTTTATACAGTGCCATCCAGAAAATAGTGGAGGAAGGAAAGGTCATTTCCTAATTCATTTTATGAGGTCAGTATTACTCTGATGCTAAAACTAGGCAAGGATGGCATAAAAAATGAAAATTATAGTCCAATGTCCTTCATGAATATAGACATAAAAAGCCATAAGAAAATATTAACAAATAGAATTCTTCAATATAAAAAATAATTATATATCATAACCAAGTGGGATTTATCCCATGAATACAAGGCTGGTTTAATATTCTAAAATCAATCAATATAATCCACCATATTAACAGGCCTAAAGAAGAAAAATCACATGATTATTTCAATTGCTGCAGAAAAGACAAACACAAAATTTAATATTCATTCATTATAAAATCTCTGAAAACTTTGGAGTTGAGGCTGGGTGCGACGGCTCACACTTGTAATCCCAGCACTTTGGGAGACCGAGGAGGGCGGATCACCTGAGGTTAGGAGTTTGAGACCAGCCTGACCAACATGGAGAAAACCCATCTCTACTAAAAATACAAAATCAGCTGGGCGTGATGGCACAGACTTAGATGTAAAATATAAAACTATAAAGCTTTCAGGAAAATACAGGACAAAATTTTCAGGAGCTCCTGCTAGGCTAGGCTTGACGCCAAAACATGTTGTATAAACTGAAAACTGTTAAGTTGAACCTTATAAAAATTAAAAACATTTGCTGGTAGAAATGTTCTATTAAGAGAATGCAAAGACAAGGTACAGATTAGGAAAAAGTATTTCCAAATAATTCTGATATCTGATATTCAATAAAGGACTCATATCTAGAATTTGTTTAAAGAATTAGTGAATCTCATCAATAACCAATGAACAGTCTAATTAGATATTGGACAAAAACATGAAGAGGCATTTTGCCAAAGATGAAAAATACGCATATGAAAAGATGCCCAGCACCACTGCCCACTAAGGAAATGTGAATTAAGATTCTCACTATATGTCACCACACAACTATCAGAGCAGCAAAAATAAAATTTAAAATAGGATGTATATCAAATGTTGACCCAGATGCTAAGTAATTAGGTCTACATTGCTGGTGAGAATGTAAAATGGTACACACACTTTGGGAAATGGTTGGGCAGTTTCCTAAGAGTGTCTTAGTCCATTTGGGCTGCTATGACAAAATATCAGAAACTGGGTGGCTTAAACCAGAAACACTTACTTCTCACAGTTCTGGGGGATAGGGAGTTTAAGATCAAGGCACTGGCAGGGTTAGTATCTGATGAGAGCTGGTTTCCTGGTTCACAGATGGCACCCTCTTGCTATATCCTCACGTAGTGGAAGAGGAAAGGAAGCTCTCTAGGGCCTCTTTCATCAAGGCATTTATAAAATCCCATTTATATAGGCCCTGCCCCTATGACATAATCAAATCCCAAAGGCCCAATCTCCTAACGCCATCACACTGGGGATTCAGTTTCAACATAGAGATTTCAGGAAGGACACAAAATTAACACTAGCATAGCACTAGCATACACTTTTCATTTGATCTAGCAATTATATGCTTGGACACTTCTTTCAGAGAAATGGAAACATGTGCACACAAAAACTTATATATGATTCTTCATGGCAGCTTTATATGCAATAACCCAAACCTAGAAACAACCAAAATGTTCTACAATAGAAGAATGGTTAAACAAACTATGGTATATTTATACCATGGAATACTACTCAATAACAAAAAGAAACAAAGTATAGATACAACTTGGATGGGTCTCAAGGGCACTATATTGATGAAAAAAAGTCATTCTAAAATAGGTCACATATTGTATAATTCCATTTATGTAAAAATGCTCAATATTGCAAAATTGTAGAAGTGGAGACCAGAGTAATGGTTGCCAGGGGTTAGTGACTGCTGGGGGAACAGTGGGTGTGACTTTAAAGGGACAGCATGAGGGAGAACTTTGTTGTGATGGCACAGTTCTGTATCTTGATTTTGACTGAACATGCATCAATCTACATGTGTGATAAAATGGCATAGACCATCATACACACATGCATGCACACACACGCATTGTGCCAATACTGATTTCCTGGTTTTGATATTATACTACAGTTAGGTAAGATGTTAATCATTAGGGAAAATCAGAGAAAGAACATGAGATATTACAAATCTTTAATTTTTTCAAACATAAGGTTTTTTGAAATATTGTTAATTCAATTGCATTCTGGCCTCTATGCCTGCCTTCCCTTCCCTTCCTTCCTCCCTCTTTCCCTCTCTGCCTGCCTGCCTGCCTTCCTTCCTTCCTTCCTTCCTTCCTTCCTTCCTTTCCTCCTCTCTCCTCCCCTTCCTTCCTTCTTTCCTTTCTTCCTTCCTTCCTCTCTTCTTCCTTCCTTCCTTTTTCTCTCCCTCCTTCCCTCCCTCCCTTCCTTCCTCCCTCCCTCCCTCCCTTCCTTTCTTCCTTTTCTTTCCTCTCTCTGTCAGCTGGGCTGGAGTGCAATGGTGCGATCTCTGCTCACTGCAACCTCCGCCTCCCAGGTTCAAACAATTCTCCTGCCTCAGCCTCCTGAGTAGCTAGGACTACAGGCACAAACCATCACACCTGACTGATCTCTGTATTTTTCAGTAGAGAAAGGGTTTTGCCCAGGATTTGCCCAGGCTGGTCTCAAACTCCTGACCTGGGCCTCCCAAAGTGCTGGGATTATAGCGTGAGCCATTGCACCCAGCCAGGCCTCTATGGTTTCTAATGAGAAATCTATAACCCTTTAAATAATTGTAATTTTATAAATAATGTCTTTTTGTTGTTGCTGCTTTCAAGATAATTCCTTTGTTTCTAGTTTTCAGTAGTTTTCTTATGATGTCTCTAAGTGCAAATCTCTTTGAGCTTATTCTGTTTGGGATTCTCCGAGCTTCTCAAATCTACAAGTTTATGTCTTTTGCCAAATTTAGAAATATTTGTAGCCATAATTTTTTCAAATATTTCTCAGCCCCTCACTCATTCTCCTCTCCTCTTGGGACTTTAATGTTACAAATATTAAGCCATCATTTTCTGTTATTATGGATCCTTCTGAGAGACATGTTTACTTTCCTAGCATTGTCAACTTTTGGTCAGGTCTGCAATGTTAATCCCCAGCCTGGAGGAACACCTGTACACACTCACCTTCTCTGCATTGATTCTTGGGTTCCCAAACATGGCTAGTAACTGGTTAAAATGGGATTCCCTGGGTGTGTAGCCAGTTATAGTTCCAGGCTTCTATCACTTTCAGCATCAACCTCTTGTTGAAAAAATTTCACATTCCCAACAGCAACTTCTCTATTCAAGGTCTCACGTCCGTCCCCCCAGAGCAATGTGCTCACCCTGTGCTGTTAGCACCGTCAGAAACACTCCATACAAAGTGGCTAGCACCTCACCACCACCTTTTCTTTCTTCCTAGTCTCCTAATGATCCTCCTTTTCCCAACTAAGCTCGGGGTTATTTGCCTTAGGATCCTGTTGCTTCTCTGAGAATCTTGCTCCAAGCTTTATCCTCCCCACCCTCCACTCCAGTGGCTTCTTTTTTTCCACTTACAGACATCCTCAGCCAGTTCCAAGACTTGATCAGCCTCCAGAATCTCCCTAACCTTGCTCTTTCTTCAAGTTGAATCTATCCTGTTGAAATTTTTCTGTCATGACAGAATCTCTTGGTTATCCAATCCAAGAGTCTCTCTACGTTGATCCACTGTGTCTCCCTGTTATTGAAATGCTCTCCCCTGCTTCCCTCAGCTTCTCATATGCCTCATTCTCTTTCTGAGCCTTGGATCCTTTCCCACTGACTCCTCATCACCTTTATCAATTTTTATAAGGTTTTTATTGAGGTATAGCATGCCATATCAGTCTGTTTTGTTTTGCTACAAAGGAATACCTGAGAGTAGGCAATTTATAAAGGAAAGATGTATGTTTAGCCCATGGTTCTGCAGGCTGTACAGAAAGCATGGCACCAGCATCTGCATCTGGTAAAGCCTCAAGAAGCTTCCACTTATGGCAGAAGGCAAAGGGAGAGCAGGCACATCACAAGGTGAGAGAGGAGGAGGAGGAAGAAGAGTGGTGGGAGGAGTGTGACTCTCTTAAACAACCAGCTCTAGCCTGAACGAATAGAGTGAGAACTCACTCATTACTGTGGAGAAGGCACCAAGTCATCACTGAGCTATCCGCCTCCATGAGGCAAACACCTCCCACTAGGCCCCACCTCTAACATTGGGGTCACATCTCAGAATGAGACTTGGAGGGGGCAGTATCCAAACTACATCACATACATACAGTAAAGTACATAACTCTTCAGAGCTGGGGGAATTTTTGTACACATACGTAGGTGTAACTACCCCCGTGAATGAGGTACAGGCCACTGCCAGAAGAGCTGTGTCCCTCCCCCGTCAATCCACATTCTCCCTTGCTCTTCGATAACCACTACTCTCACCCTATCCACATGGATTATTTCTGCTGTTCTGAAACTTCATATAAATGGAATGCGTTGTTTCAAGTCTGCTTTCTTTTGCACAACATGGTGCCTGGTGGATTCACCCATGTTTCTGTGTGCATCTGCCGTTCATTCCTTTTTACTAGACGGTAGTATTCCATTGTGTGAACGCACCATGATTTGTTTATTCATTCCACTCCTGATGGACGTTTGAGGTTTTTCCCCTTAGGCTTTTGTAAATTCAGCACTCTTCTGTATTTTGTCTTCGTCTTTCTTCAAGGTGTCTCTTTTTTTTCTCAAAATGATCCAGAACAATACACATTCAGCCTTCCCTGGAACTGGCCTTTTCCTGCTGCCAGAACAGTCGGTAACAGTTTATGGCATCAGGAGGTTGAGTCAAAGTTATCAGTCAAAACACAGCAGGAGAGAAAGTGGAAATGGGTAGGCAGTAGCATATAATCAAACAATTGCAAGCCTTGGGAGGCATGAACAGGAGTCTCAGGGCCACCCTCTCAGCTGTCAGGTTCTGCAAGTAGGATCCCTCACAAGGGGTGTGGCAGACACAGCAGACAGCCTGTCACTGTATATCTCTCTGAGCCCTGCAAGTCTCTAGGCTGGGGCTGGGCTCCTTGGCCTTCTGCCTGGAGCCCTTAGGCAACTAAAATGAGAGCCCAAGAGAGCCAAGAGCCACAAGGTTATTTTTCTAAGACGTAAAGTGAATTATGTCATCCACCCAGACCTCTTTGTCCAAAAGAAGAACCTCGGGTCTCTTTCAGGACCCTCAGATAGATCTTCCCAGAAAAGAAGCAAGGGAAAGACAGAGGAGGAGACACTGGAGCCACAGGGCTGGAGCAGCTGGATGGGCCTCTGACAGCAGATGGAGGGGTGATAGCATAGGGAAAGAGAGAGGGACAAAGTGAACTATGCCTGAAAGAGCTTGAGGGCTAAAAGCTGAATGTTTATGTGAGTATAATCAAAGGAAAGGGGAAAGATTTGGGAGAGAGACACCCGAGAAAACCTCAAGAAGCCACAAGACCTAGACAACAACTGCCAATCTAGTAATGACCGGGTGTGCTGTGGAGTTGGTGTTTATCCCAGACAAAGCCAGTGCTTTCCCGAGATCTGGTGACGATTTGAAGCACATATATTTAGGAAGGAGGACGAGCCCTGGGAAGAGGTTTTGAGTCAGGAGACCTGGGCTTGGGCCTCAGTCATGTGGTCCGCTGCTCTCTAGCTCTGACAGCAGAGTCCCTTCTGCTGGCAGAGTCTCTGCCTGTGAATAGCAGCAGGCCAGCCCAGCTCCACTGGCCCTTCTGGGTCTAAGAGGTCTGGCTTCTCAGGTCTAGGCTTGCAAAGGCTCTGACTGGACCTCACAGTAATCTGGCCAGTGCACACCTGAGCCACATCTCATTGTTTTTGAGTATACCTGAACCTCAGGCAAGGTTTGGTTTTATTCCTAACCTCTTACTGCAGAACAGAGGAAGTCAATTTAGAGTCAAATCCTCACTAGGCTTCTCTTATTCCAGGGTATTTATTTGCTTGATGATTTTGAACCATTTATTTGGACACACAAAGTCCTATCTGGGAAAGAACCATTGGCTCCAACGTTCTCAAATAAGGCTAGTTTGAGATGCTGATAGGGTCTCCAACAGGAGGCAAAGAAACATAACACCCAGCCAGGTGACTGCAAGGTTAAATGTGGGAGTCTAGCTTTTTCAGAATCCTAAAAGCCATGTGATAAGGGACTGTCACAGAGAGGATAACAAATGCACACCTGAAGGATGAAGGTAAAACTTATTCCAATGCTCTGCAAATGGCTGTGGGGGGTTGCTTTTCCTGGGAAGCACCCCTCAGACTCAGAGTTACTGCATCCTACATGATTTAACTGAAGCAAAGGTGATGGATTCGTCAACAAAAAAAATAATAAAAAAGAGATCTGGTGTCGACAAACATGCTGGTGCTATAAAGGAGGTGAGTAATGTGGGAAAAAGCAATGTTTCCAAACTCGTGTAGTATTTTATTTTATATTTTATGTTTTGAGATGAAGTGTCTCTCTGTCACCCAGGCTGAAGTGCAATGGTGCAATTTCAGCTCACTGCAACCTCTGCCTCCTGGGTTCAAGTCATTCTCCTGCCTCAGCCTCCCAAGTAGCTGGGATTACAGACATACATCACCACGTTCAGCTAATTTTGTTGTATTTAGTAGAGACGGCATTTCACCATGTCAGTCAGACTGGTCTCAAACTCCTAACCTCAGGTGGTCTGCCTGCCTCGGCTGCCCAAAGTGCTGAGATTACAGGCATAAGCCACTGCATAGGGCCTGTTTTATTTTATTTTTTGAGACATAGTCTTGCTCTGTCACCCAGGCTGGAGTGCAGAAGTGGAATCTCAGCTTACTGCAACCTCTGCCTCCTGGGTTACACCTCAGCTTCCCAAGTAGCTGGGACTATCGGTGCCTGCCACCACACCTGGCTAATTTTTTGTATTCTGGTGTAGAGTAAGGGTTTCACCATGTTGTCCAAAGTAGTCTCAAACTGAATTTAGGCAATCTGCCTACCTCGGCCTCCCAAAGTGCTCAAATTACAAGCATGAGCAACTGCACTAGGCCATACTCATGTAGTATTTTAAATATGCATGAGTAACTATATTGCTAGTAAAATAGATATTTGACTATTCTCTCTACATGACAAAAGTTGTTTAGAATATCACTTAAAATTTTTCTTACTGAAAAAGTCACATGGCTGGGCATGGTGGCTCATGCTTGTAATCCCAGCATTTTGGGAGGCCAAGGTGGGCAGATCATGAGGTCAGGAGATCAAGACCATCCTGGCTAACATGGTGAAACACAGTTTCTACTTAAAAAATACAAAAAATTAACTGGGTGTGGTGGCACGAGCCTGTAATCTCAGCTACTTGGGAGGCTGAGACAGGAGAATTGCTTGAATGCAGGAGGCAGAGTTTGTAGTGAACCAAGATTGTGCCACTGCACTTCAGCCTGGGTGACAGAGTGAGACTCTGTCTCAAAAAAAAGTCATATACACAGTTATATTAAAATCAGCATATGCTATATTTTCTAATCTAGAAATAGAAAATGTCCAAGATATCTAACTAGACCGAGGTTGTGAAGTTCTCTGGAATCCCCCTGAATCAGCTGCTACTCTGAAGAAGAGCATCACACATAAGGTGGACCCAGCCCACCCTTGGCCCAGGCCCTGGTGCATCTAACTTCAGTGCAGACCCACCCCTTCATCAATTGCACTGGAGTGGTTATTCAATCGTGTCCCTTGGTCTCTGTGGCAGATGCCAGACACGTTGCAATGGAAGATCTTCAGATGACTTGGTGACAAGTTCATGGCCATCTGGTTTCAAGGAGGGCTGGCAGGTGGGCACCCAGGCTCTGTGAGATCAGAGTGTGGGTGTGGGTGTGTGAGGTTGAAGGTGGTCAAAGGAAAGCAGAGTGACTGTCCCCACGGTGTTGGCAACAAAGAGTGGCAAACCCATATTTGGGTCTTTCCTCTTCTTTTACCTTCCTCACTGGCTACTGTCATCTGTAAAGAGCTCCAAGTCTTCATGTATAGAAAGCATTCAGTGGGCAAGGAAGGCCCAGTCCCCACGCTGGGGTATCTTCTGGCTCTGCAGTTAGAGGCCCACAGCTGAAAGGACAAGGCTTCCTCTCTATTGATTTCTTCATTATCAGCCATAGTGCTTACCTCTGCTCAAGACAAGGCAAAATGTATCCTGTGGGGCCTGCAAATCTGCCTCCCACGCGAGGTTATAAGCATCTGGAAGGCAGGACTGTGAACATGCACCCTCAGGGCACAATCCAGGACACAGAATAACTCGTGGCTGTGCTGCTGCTGCCTTGACCATCTGAGTATCTGACAACAAAATGTGGACATTGGTATGACTTTGCCTCATGCACTGTGAATCATCTACTGCGGCAGGTGACATCTCCTCCCTGACCCTTCCCTTAGCTTGAACTGTCTTCCATTCTTACTCTCGACTTCTCTTACCTTCTCTTGATTGTCCAGTTCCATCTATCCCTTTCATTGACTTGGAAAGAACTTATGTCTATTGCTTGGTGAAGGATCATTTCTAGGGTTTTCCTTAGATAGAACCCAGGCAGCATGGCGTGATGGAACCCATACACAGGTGAGGGCAGCAGAGGAAGGCCATTTTTTTGTCTGTTTCCTGGCATCCCTGTGCCAGCTCTGTGACTTGGACAAGTCAATTTCACATCGCTGAGGGTTGTTTCCTCAACTGTAGAAATGAGAATAAAAGTTTGCCTTTCTGTGTTGCTTGAGGAGATAGATAAAACAACACGTGTAAAAGTACTTAAAGGAGATCATGGCGCATAATAGGTATACACTGAACAATAGCTTCTTTCCCCCCTGTTATTACATTTAAAACAATGGATTCGATTTGCTCTTTTTGTAAAAAAAATTCAATTAAGCCACTTTGTACTTGTACATTTAGACTATTGATTTTTTCTTTCTGGGTCAGGGGCACTCAACAGAGGGAAAGTGGTTTTCTGAGACGTAGGGTGATAAAATCTGAAGTGCTCTCTCGTTAGCATTAAGTTCTCATACCCATTCTGAGACAGAAAAACATAAAGATAGTGCCTCTGAATACTGGGCACACATTAGAATCATCTGGAAAAGCTTTTAAAAAATACTGGTGCCTGGTCCCACTCCAGGTGGTAGAGAACCGTGGGGGTAGGTCTCCCGCATCAATGTATTCTTGAAAGCCCTCCAAGTAATTATGGTGTGCAGCCAAGAAACATGACTGTAGCCTCTCAGGCTCTGATTTTATGTAAGTTTAATTACTTATGGATACTCTTTTTGTTTCTAGAAGCTTCTGCTGGAGAATCGTGGTTCCATGGGTGCCACTTCACCGTGGCTTCTCACTTCCTTCCAGTGCGGAGGCGTTAAGGTGACAGCTGCAAGGACAAGTGAGTGTAGGGCAGGGAAGAAGCAAAGTGGCTGCAGTTTCCTGGTGCTTGTGACCTTGAGCGACGTGTTTGGGATACTCTCAATGAACTCTGCTTTGTTAAATGAGCAAGCAGGAGCCGATGGAATGATTTAACATAATTACATGCCTAATCTTGCATAAAATTCTAACACTAATGACATCACTTTGGCAACTCAAAAGGTCACTCTAAGCACAGAAATTTAGGGTTGCTTCTAATATACAAGACTTTATCTTAGTAGGTGGCGAATTGTACCTTCTCCTTACGAACTGGGTTGTTTTGGCTTCAGGGCCTTTGGGGAAGAAGCTAAATATATGGTGATAATTTTAGACTTAGTGATTTAATTTAGAAAACATTGGTACATCTTATTACAAGGAGTTTTAAATGTCATTGAGATTTTTTTTTTTCTCCAAATCAACTACATACTTTATTTTGTTTTACTTCATTAATTTGCCAAACATTTATTAAGTGCCTCTTATATTCCAGGTGCTGTCCTGGGTACTGAGGGCACCAAAATATTCAGACCTGCTTCTAAGGAGTCTGGTTCATGGAAGGGTCAGAATAACAAATCCACATTTGTACTGCCCCAGACCAGCTCTCTTCTAAGGGCGCTGTGACTTTCCAGCAGGTGTGTATAAATCTCCACATTTACTTACACTCTCAGCTTGCTGAATTTGATATTGTTGCTCATTTCCTACTACTATAAAGAGAATGTTGTAAATGCTTTGCACCTTGACTTAGAGGACAGTCCTCTCTTGGCTTTCCTTCTCGTTATTTAGCTGCTCCTTCCATTTCTTTGGAGGATTCTTATTTCCCTACTTGCTCTTAAATGTCGATATAATTTTGGGAACTAGCAGGTACTACTGAACAGTCTCCTAATGATGCTTCATATCAAGAATATGAAATAAAACTACTTTTATCTCCCAATTTGATGCCTAGAAGACTGAGTGAATAGCTCTGCTTGCTGTCCAGTTGTAGAGGTAGAGAACTGCATGGCAGAACAGCGCTGTCTTTTGAGAAGAATGAAATAAGAGAGAATATATTCTGTGGATTTTTATTGCAGACTGCTTTTCTTTCTTTCTTTGCCATTTTTATGGGTACATAGTAGTTGCATCTTCTTATGGATACATGAGTTATTTTGATACAGGCATACAATGGGTAATAGTCATATCAGAGTAATTGTGTTACACACCATTCAATTATTACTCTTTTAGTTATTTTAAAATGTGCAGTGAATTATTGTTGACTGCAGTCACCTGCTGTGCTGTTAAATACTAGACCTCATTCATTCTATCTAACTGTATTTTGTACCCGTTAACCACCCTCATTTTGTCCCTCCATTCCTGACCCTCATCCCAGCCCCTGGTAAGCATCCTTCTACTGTCTATCTCCATGAGTTCAATTTGTTCTAATTTTTAGCTTCCACAAATGAGTGAGACCAGGCAAAGTTTGTCTTTTTGTGCCTGGCTTATTTCACTTAATGTAGTGACCTCCAGTTCCATCTATGTTGCAACAAATGACAGAATCTAATTTTTATATCCGAATAGTACTTCATTGTGTATATGTACCACATTTTCTTTATCTCTTCATCTGTTGATGGACACTTAGGTTGCTTCCAAGTCTTGGCTGTTGTGAATAGTGCAGAAATAAACGTATCTCTTTGATATACTGAATTGCATTCTTTTGGGTATATCTAGCAGTGGGATTGCTGGATTACACGGTAGTTCTATTTTTATTCTTTTGGGCAACCTCCAAACTGCTCTCCATAATGGCTGTCCTATTTACATTCCCGCCAACAGTGTACAGGGGTTCCCTTTTCTCCACATCCTCACCAGCATTTGTCATTGCCTGTCTTTTGGATAAAAGCCATTTTAACTTGGGGTGAGATGATACCTCATTGTAGTTTTGGTTTGTATTTCTTTGGTGATCAGTGATTTGAGGAACTTTTCATATACTTGTTTGCCGTTTGCATGTCTTCTGTTGAGAAATGTCTATTCAGAACTTTGGCCATTTTTCAATCGGATTATTAGATGTTTTTTCCTATTGAGTTGTTCGAGCTCCTTATATATTCTGGTTGCTAATCCCAGATGGATAGATTGCAGGTATTTTCTCCCCTTCTGTGGGTTGTCTCTTCACTTTATTGATTTTTTTCTTTGCTGTGCAGAAGCTTTTTAACTTGATGTGATCCCATTTGTTAATTTTTGCTTTGTTTTCCTGTGTTTTTGGGGTATTGCTCAAGAAATCTTTGCCCAGACCAATGTCCTGGAGAGTTTCCTCAATGTTTTTTTACAGTGGTTTCATGGTTTGAGATCTTATATCTAAGTCTTTAATCCATTTTGATTTGTTTTTTGTGCATGGCAAGAGGTGGAGTCTAGTATCATTCTTCAGCAGATATTTCATTTTCACAGCACCATTTATTGAAGAGACTATCTTTTCCCCAATATATGTTCTTGATGCGTTTGTTGAAAGTGAGTTTAATGTAGATGTGTAGATTTATTTCTGGATTCTATATTTTGTGTCATTGGTCTATTTGTCTCTTTTTCTTCCAGTGCCATGCTGTTTTGGTTACTATAGCTGTTGAGCATAATTTAATGTCAGATAATATACTTGTTTTGCCGTTTGCATGTCTTCTGCAATCATACACTGCCTTGTATGATTCCTCCAGTTGTGTTCTTTTAGCCCAGGATGGTGTTGGCTACTCTAGGTCTTTTGTGGCTCCACATAAATTGTGGGATCATTTTTCTATTTCTGTGAAGAATGTCATTGGTATTTGATAGGGATTACATTGAATCTATAGATTGCTTTGGGTAGTATGGACATTTTAACAATATTGATTCTTTCAGTTCATGACTATGGAATATATTTTCATTGTTTGTAAACTCTTCAATTTTTTGCATCATTGTTTTATAGTTTTCATTGGAGAGTTCTTTCACTTCCTTGGTTAAGTTTATTCCTAGATATTCTATTTTATTTGTAGTTATTATAAGTGGAATTACTTTCTTAATTTCTTTTCAGATTGTTTGCTGTTGGCATATAGAACTTTTACTGTTTATCTTTAAAGTCTTAATTATTCAGAGACTAATCCAGGTTAGCTTGACCAGTCAAAGGATTTGACAAAGGGAAACTTATCAAAGGATTTGACAAAGGGAAATGTAAAATAAATCTGTTTATGGATATTCAATTAATCTTCTGTGTGCCTAGTATTGATAGGATGAAAAGTCTGAACAAATATTTATGATATTGCTGTGAAGGAGCTTGCTACCAAGCCACAGAAATCCCTTAATATTCAGGTTTTAGAATTGCCAAATTCTCACAGGACCTCAGGCACAGATTATTGAGGTTGGGGAGAGTTTGAGTAGTTATAGCAAAGAAAAAACAAAAAACAAACACCCTGTTCTCTATAGTACAACTGTGTGCAATTAAGCAATAATATTTGATATAGGCTCCAAAATTCATCAATAACACAAAATGCTACTATTTTGGTGTCCTGCAACTTTACTGAATTTGTTTATCATTTCTAATAGGTTTTTCGAAAAGTCTTTAGGTATTTCCAAGTAAAAAATTATGTAGTCTTCAAACAAGGATAATTTGACTTCTTCCTTTCCAATTTGGATGTCTTTCATTTCTCTCCCTTGTCTGATTGCCCCAGTTAGGGCTTCCAGTACTATGCTGAATAACAGTGGTGAAAGTAGGCATCCTTGGTGTGTTCCAGATCTTAGAGGAAAGGCTTTCACTTCTTCCCCATTCAGTATGATACTAGCTCTGGGTATGTCATATATGGCCTTTATTGTGTTGAGATATGTTCCTTCTATGCCTAGTTTGATGAGAGTTTTTATGATTAAGGGATATTTATTTTATTAAGTGCTTTCTTTTTGAGTCACTGACCCACATCACATTGTTTATTTTTCTTTCTTTCTTTTTTAATTTTAATTTTTAAGTTCTGGAGTACCTGTGCAGGATGTGAAGGTTTGTTACATAGGTAAACGTGCCACAGTGGTTTGCTGCACTTGCCAACCCACCACCTAGTTATTAACCCCAGCATAACCCCATTATCTATTTTTTCTAATGCTCTTCCTCCCGCTATCTCTTCCCCCAGCAGGCCCCAGTATATGTGGGTTCCCTTCCCTGTGTCTGTGTGTTCTCATTGTTCAGCTCTCACTTATAAGTGAGAACATGCGGTGTTTGGTTTTCTGTTCCTGCATTAGTTTGCTGAGGATAATGATGTCCAGCTCCATCCACATCCCTGCAAGGAATCATCTTGTTACTTTTATGCTACATAGTATTTCATGGTGTATATGTACCACATTTTCTTTATCCAGTTTATCACTGATGGGCATTTGGGTTGATTCCATGTCTTTGCTATTGTGGATAGTGCTGCAATGAGCCTACCAATCAAAAAAAGCCAAGGGCCAGATGGATTTATAGCTGAATTCTACCAGAAGAACAAAGAGGAGCTGACACCCTTTCTTCTGAAACTATTCCAAAGAATTGAAAAGAAGAGACTCCTCCCTAACACATTCTATAAGGCCAGCATCATCCTGATGTCAAAACCTGACAGAGATACAACAGAAAAAGAAAGCTTATATCCCAATATCACTGATGAACATAGATGCAAAAATTCTCAATATAATACTGGCACACTGAATCCAGCGGCATTTCAGAAAGCTTATCCACCACAATCAAGTTGCCTGTAACCCTGGGATGCAAGGCTGGTGCAACATACACAAATCAATAAACGTAATTAATCACATAAACAGATCTAAAGGAAACACACATAATTATCTTAATAGATGCAGAAAAGGCCTTCAATAAAATTCAACATCACTTCATGTTAAAAACTCTCAATAAACTAGGTATTGATGGAATGTACCTCAAAATAATGAGACATTTTTGACAAACCCACAGCCAACATCATACTGAATGGGCAAAAGCTGGAAACATTCCCCTTGATAAGTGGCACAAGACAAGGCTGTCTTCTCTCACTGCTCCTGTTCAACATAGTGTGGAAGTTTTGGCAGGGGCAATCAGGCAAGAGAAAGAAACAAACTGTATTCAAATAGGAAGAGAGGAAGTCAAGTTGTCTTTGCACATGACATGATCCTATAGCTAGAAAACCCCGTCATCTCAGCCCAAAAGCTTATTAAGCTGATAAGCAATTTCAGCAAGGTCTCAGGATACAAAATCATTGTGCAAAGTCACAAGCATTCCTATACACCAACAACAGACAAGAAGAGAGCCAAATCATGAAGGAACTTCCATTCACAATTGCCACAAAGAGAATAAATACCTAGGAATACAGCTAAGAAGGGAAGCGAAGGACCTCTCCAAGGAGAACTACAAACCACTGCTCAGAGAAGTTACAGAGGACACAAACAAGTGGAAAAACATTGCATTGTCATGGATGGGAAGAATCAGTATTGTGAAAATGGCCATACTGCCCAAAGTCATTTGTAGAGTCAATGCTGTTTCCATTAAACTACCATTGACATTCTTCATGGAATTAAATGTTTTTTCAACATCAATGGAAACGATCATTTTTTTTGTCCTTCATTCTGTTTATATGATGTATCACATTGATTGGTTTGCATACGTTGCAGCGTCCATGCATCTCTGGGATAAATCTCACTTGGTCATGATGAATTATCTTTTTAACGTGTTGTCGGGTTTGATTTGCTGGTATTTTGTTGAGGATTTTTGCATCAATATTCATCAGAGATACTGGCCTGTAGTTTCTTTTCCTGATGTCTTTGGCTTTTGTATCTGGGTGATAATAGTCTCATAAAATGAGTTTGGAAGTGCTCCCTACAGCTCTGTTTTTTGAGTAGTTTGAGTAGGACTGGCGTTAGTTGTTCTTTAAATGTTTGGTAAAATTCAGCAGTGAAGCTGTTGGGTCCTGGTCTTTTCTTTGCCGGAAACTTTTTATTACGGCTTTGATCTCATTACTTATTATTGGTCTATTCAGGTTTTGGGTTTCTTCCTGGTTCAATTTTAGTGGATTGTATGTGTCTAGAAATTTCAATTTCTTCTGAGTTTTCCAATTTATTGCCATATAGTTGCTTGTCTCTAATAGCCCTTTGAACTTCTGCAGTATCAGGTGTAAGGCACAGTGACCCCTGCCTGGCTACGGCCGACATTCACTCAAGGCCCAAAGTCTCTTTAGGCAGCAGACAGTGAACCCAGCTAGGCCTGGGTCTCTCTTCTCATGGCAGTGAGCACCCTCCAGCCCAGGGGGGGGTCCAGAAATGCTATTCAGGAACCAAGATCTGGAACTGGGGCCCCCGGAAGCCTGCTTGATGCCCTGCCCTGCTGTGGCCATATTGGTACCCACGATGGTAACCTTTGTTGAAGTCCCCTTTACTGCTCCCGCTCCTTTCCTCAACAGAAGTCTCTCTCTGTGGCTGCCACAGCCAGGAGTGTGTTGGGTCACACTTAAAGCCAGCATGGCCCTCGGTCTCACTCGAGGCCCGTGGTAAGTACTGCCTGGCAACCACTGCTGTTATTCCAGGCCCAAGGACTCTCTAGTCAGCAGGTGATAAATCCTGCCTGGACTGGGTTCTTCCCTTCAAGGTAGTGGGTTCCATTCTGGCCCACAGTATGTCTAGAAATGTCACTCATAAGCTGGGGCCTGGAATGGAGGCCCTAGGATTCTGCCTGGTGCCAGGGTCTACTGTGGCTGGGCTGGTGTCCAGGTTGCAAGACAGAGTCCTCTTTCGTGCCCCCTTGCCTCTCCTCAGCAGAGGGAAGGAGGCTCTCTGGGGCTGCGAGCTGCACTGCTTGGCTTTGGGAGGGGGTGAAGCAAGTGCTCCTGTAGTGCTCCCAACTGTGTCTCACTGGGTCACATGCACGCCAGGTCCACTGGCTCAGAGCCCAGTACAGCATCAGGTCGTGCCCAGGAATCGCAGTCCTTGTGGCCTAGCCTGTCTTTCAATTTTATTTAGGGCTCTAGAGCACTTTTCCCCACAGTGATGGGGCCTGCTGGAACTCAGGTTCTGACCACCGAGATGGGCGATTCCTGCCTGTCTAGGGCTTCTCTAAACATTCCGTCTGCTGGTGCCAGCCGAGTTCTGCTCCCACGTTGTCTTCCACTGTGACAGGGCAGCTGTGAATTTCAGTGCAAAGTCCCACAATCACCGTGCTCTCCCCCAAGCACACAGATTCTCTCTCCATGCCAAGCAGCTTCTGCCAGGGTCAGAGGTGGCAGTGTGGGCAATTCAAGACTGCTTTTCCTACCCCTTTTTGATGCCTCTTTCCTTGCCATGATGTTAGTACCAGGTACTGTGATTGCTGGCCTGATTTTTCCTCCTAATGAAGGTGCTTTCTTGTGTGGATAGTCTTCCAGTTTGCGTTCCTGCGGCGTGGAAGTGCTGCTGCTCACTGGCGGTTCTACTTGCTTGTCTTGCTGGCTGCTTCTCAGCAGCTGGGGCAACCATGTATGGACTCGTCTGACTGGCAGTGATGTGGCATCACGTGTGTTACATAAAACAACTGCTGTTCACGTAACCGTGATGCACTGACGTCTGTTTCAGGAGCAGGGCAGCTCGAGTTAAGTAACGTACCTGTCCCTTAGACTGCTGTTGACCTGGTTCATTAAACTCAGGATCTTCACTCTATCCCTGAGCCACGGTGAACTACAGGCAAGACACTCCCTGTTCCCCGTTTCCCCATCTGTGAAATATGACTGGGGAGCTCACCTGTATTCTTTTAATCAATTCAGCATTCACTTCTTTATCCAACAAATATTTACTGAACTTGTAGCTAGGTGGCAGGCCCGGATTGGGTGCTGGGGAGATATTGATAAACATATAAGACAATGCCTCTACTCTTATGAAACCTTGGTCTGGAGGAATAGACAAGCAGGTCAGGCACGTGTGAAAGGGTGTCTTTAATTTAAGGTTCTTATGCATGTTCATAAATAATAAAATAAGTTTTGCATTGCATCATCACATCTATGGCCATCACAGCTGTCAGAAATGACCATCTGACAGGGTTTAGTTGACATAACTTTTTTTTTTGAGATGGAGTTTCACTCTTGTTACCCAGACTGGAGTGTAATGGCGCGATCTCGGCTCGCCGCAACCTCCACCTCCTGGGTTCAAGCAATTCTCAGGCCTCAGCCTCCTGAGTAACTGGGACTACAGGTGTGCACCACCATGTCCAGCTAATTTTTGTATTTTTAGTGGAGACGGGATTTCACCATGTTGACCAGGATGGTCTCGATCTCTTAACCTCGTGATCCACCCGCCTCAGCCTCCCAGAGTGCTGGGATTATAGACGTGAGCCACTGCTCCCGGCAAAATAACTTTTAAATTGGATTCAGGTATGCAATCCCAGCTCTATTATATAGTAATTAATGGCACAAATACATTGTTAAATTCCCTGAGTTTTATTTTCCTCATCAAGAAATTAGAGTAATAGCAGATATCACACAGGATTTCCATGTGACAATGATTTGAAATAATATATGTTATTCAGTAGGTTCTCAGTAAATGTTAGTTTCTTCCATTTGAAGGAAGTAGCAGATTTTTTCCCCCAAAATTTGACCATATTGATACATAAAGCCCTTCTGTTTGATTTTTTCCCCCAAAGAATCCCCAAAACCCTCTGAAGAAATGAAAAACACATTTTATGTGGTCTTAATTAGTTCACTATTTGATAATTTACCTTTAATGAACTGTAAAGTGAATAATCACGACTGATGTTCAGTTTCATTTCTTCCATGCCACACGTTAAACACAGCTTAATTGTTAAACATTCACTCTAACTGGGCATCACGCATACATAGCTGGTATAAAGAAACCTGCTTATAACTCACCTGTTCCTCCTAGATCGCTACAAATGACAGATCTGTGTTGAAACCACCCTTACCTTCTTGGTGAATGTGGTTTAACTCTTGCTTCTATCTAATTGAGAGTCAAGGGATTTAAACTATAGTAAGAGCTCTTCACAGAGAAGAACTTGAGATGGCCACAGTGGACAGGAAGATGGTACCCGTGTAAATAATGCATTTGTATGCATTATTTTATTTAATTTTGACAGTAACGATTAGGAGAACTCTAATTACCAGAAGAAGAAACTGATATTCAGAAAACTAAATTTTCTCAGGTCACATAGCTGTTCATTAGTGGGGATAAAATTTCAATCCAAGCCTGTCCAACTTCAAAACCAATGTTCTCTCAACCTGTACGTCTTTGCTAGGAAATTTAAGTACCAAAACCGCTATCAAAGAAATAATGGCTGTTGAGCGATAATGACAACATTCAGCTTATTTCTTCCATGAATTCTTTATGACATGAAATTTAGAGAGAGAGGGAAAATGAGGGATGATAGAAGAGTGTGGCGGGATAGAAAAGGGCGAGAGAGTGAATGTAACGGTAAGAACACAGATGGCCCTAAGCCTGGGTCTTGCTCCTTACTCTCTGAGTGGTCTTGGGCAATTTCCAATGCTTTTTTACAGTTGTCTTTTCTTCTGTAAAATAAAGACACTAATAACAGTATACACCTCATAAAGTTCTTGTGGAGATTGAGTTAATTTATGTGGTATACTTTGTGATGTTGCAGTATAATAATTTTATGCCCTATATGTGCATATGTAACCATATATACTATATGTGACATGAATATTTGTGAGTTAGTACATATATATGTTAATACGTGAATATATATAGCACATGATATATATGTGAGTTAACGTGTGAAAAATGTCTGTGACATGGGAAGCATTAAGTATTCACTATTACCACTTACAAATGAGCTACATATATATTAGATTTGAAAGATAAAATCTGTGTAAAGGTTCACACAGTTAGATGTGTTCAGCAGACATTCATAAATGTGATCTTTAATTTTTCATGGAGAAAGGCATGAAGAGAAGAGTGAGCCGTGGAAAGAGTGCAGCTCTGCCGTTATCTCATCTGTAACTGGGGTCCTTTTGTCCCCTGGTCTCCTGTTCCTTGTATGTAACATGTGGGATTGAAAGATGTGAGTCTAAGGTTCCTTTCACCTGAAGAGTTTTCTTAAGTTCTACTTTGGAAAGTTGCAATCAAGGACTGTTCCTGCAACTTATTTGATTTATAATCTGTCTTTGGTTAAGTAAATTCCTATTTTACATTTTGTTTATTTCTTGAATGAAGTATTTAGTAATGCTCATGGCAAATCTAGTGAAGTCAAGGGCAGAAAGATTAAGCATTAGTTGGGAAGGCGAAATGGAAGCCCTTCACGACCCTCGTTCATGATTCAATAGGCTCTGCATTTCTATGGAGTTGGGGATCTTGGGCACAAACGCTGTTATGGGGTCAGGATCCCACCATGACCTTGTAGCTTATTTCTTCCTCACCCCATTCCATTTCCCCACAGAGTCCCATCTCTTGTACAACGGATAAACCACGACTCCATCCCAAAGGGGAGCTAATGATTAACTGTGGGAATATTAAGTGTTATGGCAAATGGGTAAGGGAAATAATCTGTGACCAGAAAATATGGGTCACTGGTCCTATTCTGTCCAACTGTGGTGGTTATTGGGTGGACTGTACTTAAATCTGTCACGGTCTCTGAACTGATAATATGTGTGAAATTCTGCTCCTGAAGGAAACCAGCATTCTGAACTCATTGTTCTCAGCCTGCCCTTTCTTTTTGCCAACAGGACAAAGCTTCCTTTGGTTTTTCCATGACTTTTATTGCCTAGCGCTATTGTGGTAAGAAACCACGAGCTCTGCAGAGGGAGATAACTGAGTTTGAATTCTACTGCTGCTCTTTTGCTATCAGGATTGCATTGGGTACAAGCCAATTAACTTCTCTGAGTCTTAATACTCTTATGTCTAAAATGAGACTGTTAATGCAACCTTTTAAATTTCTTGTGAAGATTAATTAAAATAATAGGCCTGACATTATTAGTAGCTATTTATTGACACATAGCTGTTTATTTATATATGTATGAACGAATATGCTTATTTGTATATCCTAAAATACGTAACATGCCAATTTTTTAAATGTTTTAACTTTCTATGGGTGTTCTCACTCATAAGTGGAAGTTGGACAATAAGAACACATGGACACAGGAAGGGGAAGATCACACACTGGCCTGTTGGGGGTTGGGGGCCAGGGGAGGGATAGCAGGGGTGGGGGATTGGGGAGGGATAGCATTAGGAGAAATACGTAATGTAGATGAAGTGGGGATGGAGGCAGCAAACCACCATGGCGCACATTTATCTGTGTAACACACCTGCACAATCTGAGCATGGACCGCAGAACTTAAAGTATAATTTAAAAGAAGATAAACATCGACACACCTTAGTGTGCATTTGAATGAAATTTTATAAACTGAACACACATGTAAAACCAGCATGCAATTCAAGAAGCAGAGCCGCAGCTGACTCACAGAGCCCCTGCTTATTGACCTTCCGTTCTCTACGCGCTCTCCAGGGGTAACCACTCTTCTGCTTCTTCAGTACTGTGGATTCATTTAATACGCTTTTAAATTCTGCAAATTTCAATCAGTCCATATGTAATTTTTATATCTTATAATATTATTTATAATTTTATATTTGAAATATTATGTTTATAGTATTCTATTTTTAATATTCCTCAATGTCATTCTATATAATTTGGCTCTCTGTATGGCAATTATCAATTATTATTATTACCATATAATAATAATTGATAGGATATAGAATATGTGTATTTTAAATTGTATTGTTAGAAATTGCCAAAAGGTTCTCCTATGTGAATGTACAAGTTTATATTATAACTGATTGAGCACAATAGTTAACAGTTACTCTAAATCTTTCAAAAAATTAATATTGCCTAAGTTTTCATTTTAGTTTTTAGTGAGTGTGTAATGACATTTTATTGAAAATTTTCATTTCTTTAATAATGATTTTTATTATCTCTTTAGATGTTTATTAGATTTTTTAAAATATTTTTTATCTTTAATTCTTTTTTCATTTAAGACTTTTGGGCATACTTTTGCCTGATTCTTAACATGCTAAATTAAGAGTGTTAGCCTGACTGAAGGGATTTGAGACATAATTTGGAGAAATCACTGAATATTAGCAGTTGTCAGAGATATTCTGGGCCAGATGCCAACTTTAAGAGTGAATACTTTTTGTTTTTTCTGGATAGTTTTTTAATTTTAAGCTTTCAGGTGAAAGTCCACTTAGAAGCAAAAGGATCCTATAGTAAAAGCAGACTTTTACAATGCAGAACACACTAGTCAGATAAAGGGAAAAGGTATTTTAAATTCTAAATCCTACTCTGACTCACTGAAGGGTTATACTTAAAGATATATTTTTTAAAAATCAGTTAACAGGAACAATGATTCTCTTTAAATGGCTACAGGTCAAAGAAAAAACAGATAAGGTCAAATTGCTTGGATTCTATGGAGAAAGACTTGAGAAATATTAAGTTAGATACTTATTCTTTTAAAAAAAATCAGTGCTTTCAGAATTGCCTGGAAAATGTTTGATAGGATGACTCAGGTGCCGAGGAAGCTCTGTAAATACCGTAAATAACTTAGAATAGTTTAAGAGCTTGCATCTCCTATGTTTCGTAGCATATAGAATCTTGAGTTCTGAATTAGGGACTTAGAACCCGGGGGACTGGGAGAAACCACTTTAGATGAGTGATGGACAGAATTTAGGGTCCTGAGTTCTTCAATCCACACATACACCCCTGAAAGACAACCCAATCTACAGAGAGCAAGCACGGATCAAGAAGGCAGCTGGCCTGGCTTTACCTCTCACTTCTGCTCCTTCCTTGCTGTATGACATGGGGTTAGCTAATTAAGCTCTGAATCTCAATGTCTTTAGCTATGAAATGAAGGTTGTAATAGCTGCCTCCAACAAGTGTTTTGCCATGAAGCAAAAAGACAAGTTCAATGTCTGGAACATGATAGGTTCTAAATAAATATAAATTATTTCTCCCAAAAGAACAGATTTGGTTACTGTGTCCAACATCTGCTATCAAGACCCAGAAGAACTGCCTCTTTGCCCATAGGGAAAAGCAGCCAATACAGATAGTTGTTTTCTTGGGAAAATAGACATCAGTCTGTTAAGAAGCAGTCATTAAAAGTGGCTTCATGTTAGAAGGTGCAGGATCATAGGCTCCATGAAAGAAATGATGCAGGCCTGAAACCTAAGGTCCCTCACTCCTCCCTGTTCCTCACCCCTCATCCCAGCAGCCACCAAACCCTTGCTTATGATATATTCTTAATTTGTTTGGTCTCCTTCACTGTAAATAAAACTAAACAAAAATATTTTCTCAATATCACTAGAGAAGCACTATCCAGGAGAAGCAGAATTTGAAGCACATATGTAATTTTAAATTTTCTAGCATTATGTTAAAATAATAAAAGAAACAGAAAAAATTAATTCTAATAATATATTTTACTTAACCCAATATTCCCCAAATATTATCATTTCATCATGTAATAAAAATTAAAAAATTAATGGTATAATTTACATTACTTTCACCAAGGCTTTGGAATTCAGTGCATATTTTAAACTCACAGCCCTTTTCAATGCAGACCAACCACATCAATAGTCATCTGTGGCTGCTGCTTTAGTCTGCCCTCTGTCATTATATCAATTTTAGCAACAATAACAATGTCAAAAATAATTGCTATTTTTATTTATTGATCACTTGCTATGTAATAGGTCTTATGTCTTTTGTGTATTACATTGACAACCCTGTCAGATATGTGTTATTACCACCCCATTTTATGAATGAGGATGCCGAGGCTTAGGGAGGTTAAGTGATTTGTCCAAGGTCATGCAAATGTTTAAGTGTAGATCTGGGATTCAAACCCAAGTTAGTTTGACCTCCATACCTATCACCTTGCTTTTCCTGAAATACTCAACTTGTCTCCTGACTGGTTGACTTGCCTTACAGCAGGACATTTTGCTATGGCTGTGTCAAAATAGCCGTTTCAAATTATAATACCAGTATTTTGTTATTTCTACCGACCTGTTAAGTCACAGGCGTCCCTGGGCTTCAGCTGTCTTTGAGCCTAAACTGACTTGTCACCACATTCATGAGGATCTTTCCATCCCTCATTGCATCCCTGAATCTCAACCGGGAGGCATGGGGTTGGGGTGAAGTGAGAAATGCAATCGGCATCCGGATGGATTAAGATTGTTGGAGAAAATGCCAGCATTGTCCCTAAAAGGAATAAAGACTCCTTAGGGAGAAGGCTGATTCCAGGTGTGGGGCAGGAAATATGGAAGATGAATTATACTAGATAGTGGGGCATCTAAAGACTATCAGGATTGCTTCAAAAGAGCTCGGGGGCCAACCTGAAGATGGAGCAAAGAAAGGGCAATCTAAGCATCAATCAGGTCAACAACTGAAATGGACAGAAATACAGCAAATGTATTTAACCCAGAATTTCATGGTGCTATTTAAAAAAAAAAAAAAACTAATTGGTCACCATTAGAAGATGCTTGAGAATCAACGTATTATATTGAAACCTGGTAAGTACAGGAAAAGAGTCTATCATTTATCCTATATTTCTTATATTTATTAAAGCACCGGGAAACTGAATAGCAGGTGAAGTAAAGTTTTTTCTTTTTTCTTTTTGGAGAGGTGTTTAACCTGGCTAATGACGATGGGATAGTAGAATTAAACTGTCTTCACTTCGCAACTCTTAGTGGGTTAATGTACTGAGACCGTGATCGTGAATGATTTTTATCATCAAAAAGAGAACAACTGCAATATCAATTATGATTTAGTCTTGCAAAGAAAACCCTCAACCTCAATATAATTAATCCCTTAGATCCTATGAACAATTTACAGAACGTAAAGAGGACAGAGGAATATGTTTTAAAATATTGTGGGGGTCAGTCATCAAAATTGATACTAAGAAACTCTACAGTACAAAGTGGAACCTTTAATAAATAAACTGAAAAGTCAAAAGGAGAAAGAATCTATAAATTCAATGTAACTTGAAGGACATATTGACTATGATGTTTGAACTTTTTCAAATTCTAATTTACAACCTATAAAGAAAAAAAGTCATGTTCTCCCTTGTTCTCCTTAATTTTCATTTATGCCAGTACGATTCTTCTAGTTTACTTCTTTACTTATATCCACCAATGGCTTTCCAATATCTGTAAGTAAACCCAAGAAAGAGTTTGCAGCATCTCATTTCAAGGAGGGGATCATAAATACAAACTCTAGAGAGAGTCTCCTGGAAGAAGCGGAAATTGATCGCCAAAGAAAATGAGTCACAGTGGAAAGATTTTCTGGGAAAGGCCATCACATAGGCTCACTGAGATCAGCATTTTGGGTGAAGGCTGGGTGGGAGGCTGAGGTCTTATGTGCAAGGTCCATATCGTGCAGCTGGAGAATAACCCGCTGTGAAAAGTCCAGAGTTGGGCCTGGGAGGAGCTGGTACTTTGTACAGTGGGATTCGTCACTGCACGTTGCTGTTGCCGCTTGAGTATCGTTATGAGAGGATGCTTTCTTAATTCTTCCCCTCACGTTTCACATATTTTCTTGTATTTCATTTCATGGAATTTCCAGGTCCTAAAGATCAGGCCGCAGTTATGCATGACTTTACGCTGTGCCATTCATAGCCAGTCACAGCATAATATGTCTTAATACTGCAGCTGAAGTGGGCGATCGAATGACTAAATTATGTGCAGGTGGTGGTAAGGAACGCCCAGCAGCCAGGTGCCAGGAGTTGGGCTGGAGGGTGCTGGAGCCACAGGGAGGGAGAGCCTTGCTGACTAGTCCTGAGCCAGGGGACAAACCCAGGCAAGTGCAAGTGCAAACTCTAACATCAAATATTATATTCAAATCCAAAGACTGGCCGCGGCGTGTTCCTCGGGGTGAAAGATGTTTCAGGACTACAGAGAATAGCACAGTGGTTTCTCCTGCCTTCGAGATTTGAGACGTGCTTGGCTCTATGATGCAGGGAGTGAGCCTGGAACGTGTGTGTGAGAGACAGTGTGTGTGAGAGTGTATGTGAGTGTGTGTGTGACTGTGACTGTGTGCGTGACTGTATGTGAGAATGAATGTGTGTATCATTGTGACAGTATGTAAAAGTAAGAGTGAATGTGAGTGCAAGTGTGCAAGTGTGTGTGGGGCTTAAAGGGTAGGAA